AGTTACTAGAGAGTCAGACAGAATTCATTTCTGAAAGAATCAAAGAAGATACCACGATCGGTTTCGACCTTTCTCAAGGGTCTCGTCAGGTGGTTTCCTTCGAGAAAGACAGAGTTAAGGCACGACAAGCAACACAACTCCCTCACACCGTATGAGGGTGTTACTATTCCTCGTTCTTACCGAACAAAGAACGATAACTTTCACACGACTAGAACGAAGCATGATATCACTGTACAATGCACATGTTCTGCTTCTCTACTTTATAATCCTCTACATTCTCTACTTAACAATTCGAGTAAAAGATAGTGGTGTTATATAATAGACAGCTTTTCGCTTCGTTCATTGATGTTAACCAATATTTTTGTTTTGTTTCTTATTTAAATGTAAATGCAAGGTATCATATACACGTGTGGTACGAAGATTATTTCAATGAAGCTGAATGTATGATAAAATAATATCGGCAATTGCCCTCGAAAGGTGCATTGCATGTAGGAAGAAGTAAAACACCTATTCAGCAGTTTGAACATTAGAGGTATGCTAAATGTTCTGATATTTTCGTTAGTTAGTCCTTGAAATTCGCTTATTAAATAGGGTCGTTACTGGATAGGAGAAACCAAGAGCATGCTTACATACCTAAATTTGACTTTTTATACAATAAAAATAATATCAACGTCTATCTAGATATACAATCACGAGGATGATGGTGACGGGTTAGGTAAATAAGGTGCGAGCAATTCAAGACTATATTTAACCGCCAGCATTTCAAGTTTTATAACCTAGATAGAAAAGTAAATGATAAAAGGCGAAATCTATCTTTGAAAGTATAAAACGAGTTTCACTTACATTTTGAAACGCTCGATGTGTTGAAAGTATTTCATGCATTTCCTTTAACTTAGCTTTATCTGGTAATTGAATATCTAGATCTTTACATAATTCAACTAAACCTTTCGATTCATCTTTCTTTTCTTGACGTTGAAAATAACAATCAATAACTTGCGCCGTTTTCATCAATATATTCAATTTGTTTAACTGGACAACGAGTACCGATATTTTTACCAAAATCTTGTAATGAATATGCTTTAGCAGTATGGATTCTTGCGTTGTCCACGATGATTTCTATCTGATTATTCTTGTTTAAATTCCCAAGCAGAAAATCCTACATCAAAATATCTAGATATTTTATCGTTGTATTGGGCAATCCTACTATGAAATATCTAGGTATAGGTGTCACTTTTATTGGGTTATCTAGATATATTGGGCATGGTATCTAGTTCATCCGATATCAAATTGGGATGCAAAAAAAGGCTGGTGTAGGGAGCTACAGTCCCCGATATATTGGTCTATTACATCCCAATATATTGACTTATGTATCGATAGCATGGATGAAGGACGTTACATTCCTCAATTTATTGGTCTGTTATCGCCCAATATATCGACTCATGTATTGACAGGCTGTCTACATTGCGCTCCGGGATGCCTGTATGCAGACATCCTGCTTTCAATATATTGGTCTATTATTGCTCAATATATTGACTTGATATGAATAAAAACTTTGTAAATTTATGGAGTATATGGGTTACATATATAGGTGCTGTGGCTGCAAAACTGAAAGGTGAATAATCCGGTCGTCGATATATCGAGCAATATATTGGGCAAGCTAGATATATTGTGTATGGTATTGGGTTATCTAGGTATATTGACTACTGTATTGGGATTACTTAGATAGGATTGCCCCATACTAGTTACTTTTTATTCGCTTGGGAGATGCATAGGTCGATATATTGGGCGATAACAGACTAATATATTGAGGAATGTAACGTCCTTCATCCATGCTATCGATACATAAGTCAATATATTGGGATGTAATAGACCAATATATCGGGGACTGTAGCTCCCTATACCAGCCCTTTTTTGCATCCCAATATATTGAGATGATATCACTAGATACCATGCCCAATATATCTAGATAACCCAATAATAGTAACACATGTACCTAGCTATTTCAAAGTAGGATTGCCCAATATCACAACAAAATATCTAGATACTTCACAAGATTTCTTACTTGAACATGTGACAAATCTAACATCCAGATATATGGGGTAAAATATAGGGTTATCTAGGTATATCGACTGCTGTATTGGATTAGCTAGCTTGGATTGCCCAATACTCAATACTTTCTTTTTACTTGTATCTAGGTATATTGGGTATTGGATTGGGTTATCTAGATAGGATTGCCCAATACTCGATATTTTTTATTCGCCTGGGTTCTAGCATTTGAAAAAGTCTTTCAGTAAAGATAAACACAAAAAATAGCATAATAGAAATTACATTTAAAAAGTTTCGATTACTGCCCATACATATAAGTATTCTATGAGCACTTTGGGCTGGAATATTCTACATAGGTGCGTCACCATTACTAATTGTGTAATAAAAATCTTTTTGTGGTAGGAAATAGTCAATAAATTCATTACGATGTTTCACTGCATCATTCCTTTCGTGTCCTTCAAAATAGAGACGTTGTGAATTTGCTCCAAACTTAGCTCCCCATCTACGAAGATTCACACGACAACTTCTTTCAGATCTTATAAAATCATCACCAGTTTGTTTTTTTCGAAAGAACAGAAAATGTGAAAACTGTTAAAAAAGTTTGTTTACTCAATTTTATTTAAGTCTAAAGCAGTAAAAGAAATAGTGGTTACATAGTCTCATTTTACAAGTGCTTGTCTTTGTCTAAACACACGACATAAGTCAATTTCAACTGACTGTTAAGACGTTTTGATTCACTTTAAAACTCAACTAGTCCACTCTGAAACGCATAATTGATCCAATTGAGTTTCGAATCTATCCAGTTAGCTTCGTCAGATGAGATCTAAATTTCGTTTAGACATAGGAGAAATAGAAAATTCTGAAATGCACTAGTTGATTTTGAAACGGCTTTTAAAATGAACTAGTTCACGTTGAAATTTTGATTTTGAGTATTTTTTATTGAAACGATTCGATCTCACGTAGTTCAGTTTTAAACTTAACTGGATTTTAATTCAAACTCCGACATATATATGCAGATAGATGAGTATATACATTTCTGAGTTCTTAACTTCGTCAGTTACTGCGGCAAAAAACGCTTTTTGCTGCGAAACTTTTACTTCGAGACATCAAAGAATTCACAAAAGTTTTCTAGCAGAAGTCCTCTTCCAGCAAAACTCAAAATGAATACAATGATCCACGCTATGTTCTTAATTATATGCAGCGTATAGCTACTCTTGCAAATCATAGACATAGCTCTATCCAACAGTAAAACAGTTTCTTCGAGGTGGTATAAACCCAACAATGAAAGGCTTTCTGTCCTTTTCTTTTTATTTGCCTTTTACGTTGCTCATTAAACATCATTAACATAACTATGTTATTGTTTGTTTCTTTTGTTTAATCATCATTATCCTAAGGTGTTCTATTAAGTAATGCGCACAAATGTGATTGTGTAAATGAGGTCACGAACAAATGAACATATTATCATAATTTCAGATAGAAAAAAATCGTCGCTTTTTTCTTAAAAAAAAGCACACACATACACGCGCGCGCGCACGATGTCGTCTAGCACAACATCACCAAACAGCATGAATATATCTATTATTGGAGGTATGGGAACTGATCATAGTGGTGATGATCATTTTGCTGGAAAAAAGCATCTGATACAGATATGTGTATAGAAATTGGTGGAATCGATTCAGAAAATGAATTAATAAAAACATCAAAACCTGAGTTTGTTCACATTCGATGGAATCCAATAGAAGAAACATTAAAGTCAAAGCCCTATTCAAATGATCAAAATAATCAACATTGTATAAATGGCTTTAAAATAAAGCAAAATGTGAGCAATTTCGTTAAATACAATTTTGAAATGGGTAATATACAGCTAGATAAAACAAAGGCAATTCTACCAACATCTGAATCAGCAGCTTTAAAGGTAAAATTTAGTTCATTTTCCGATGTACCAACTTCACAATCATTTAGTGATGCACTAACAGATGTTTTAAATGTTCAACAACAACAAGAGCAAAATAGTGAACAATTATTATTGTATAAAAACAATTTTCTAATTTTCAGTCAGATAGCAAAGGATTTTGAATATGATGAAGCAATTGGTTGTAAAAATGATTTTGAAAAATTATGCCTATAATGCTGTACGCTTAACAAGTCCAATAATTTTAATTTCACTAACAGAAGAACAAAAATTAAAGGCAACAATATTAATAAATTTTTATTTAAAATATAAGTATTTAGTTAAAGTATATATTTCTTCTCATCGTCATGGTAATTCTCATCTCCTATTCCGTCATGCAGAACTATTTGATTAGGATTTTGTGCCATCCTTTAAATTACAATTTTGGCCTCAAGATACTGAACAAGGATTTTTACAACGTTTTAAGGACAAGAAACCAAATTTATATGAACAAATAAAACTAATTTTTATGCATTTAATAGCAAAGTGGTCGGGTAATAACGAAACATTTCAAGATAGAGAATTAGAATTTCGATATTCTTTTTCGTCCGTTGAATTATTCGTAGCTAATATTAGCTAAGAAAAAAGAGAAAATGACCATTTTGTGATTCTCGAAAAGCTCTACCAACTGGCTATATTTAAGACTCTTCATAGGCTCAAGCGATCGCAGAAGGATTTTTTTCTTTTAGCGATTTTGCCCGAAATCATTATGTTCTAATCGCAGTTTTGAGGCACTTAGGAAAACTTGTGTGATTTGGTTTAAATCACATATTATGACTTTTGATCTAGTTTACCTTGAAGCAAAATAGTTTTTTTGTTACATCCGAACAGAGAAAGTCAAATAGCCCCGTTTCGTTTCCTGTGCCAAGGCGGACGAAACAAATTTTCCCTTTTTTTTACTGTTAGTAAAATCTTTCTTCGTAGCAGGAAAACAGGTTTGCAGGGAACTTATGATCTAAGAAAAGCAAGCTGATACTCTGGAGTTCCAGAAAATACATTTCGATTCCACTATGCATAGCACCGTGTTCAAAATAAATATTTTTTGGTTGAGCTTTAGGTTTGAAAGTAATCGATATTGAAACTTTCCCGTATTTCTTTTATATTTTTTTATCCTTATAACTTAGTATATAAAGAAATGTTCAACATGTTTTGTGTAGAAAATTGACTGAGGTTTCTTTTAGAAAAAAGATTGAAACTTGTCGATCAACCTTGACCGAGATATTGAGAAAATATTGAATGAGACAGAACTTCTGGGCCACCTTTTATATAGTGATTTTTAATATTTACTTTATTTTAAGGTTTCGAACAGTCTAATTCATCACCAGAAAAATGTACAAAGAGCTATAAAGAGAAATGTTATTTATTTATACACGAAACTTGTACATATAAACAAACATATGAAATAGTCCGTCTGATGGTAGTTAAAATAAAAGAAACACACGATGACACTAACAGACAAGGAAAAGAAATAACAGAGTAAAGGTAAATTCTAAAAAGGACTAGAGAATGAGAGATATGGTTATTCCATTTTGTTTTAGTTCTTTGACTGACACAGCCTTCTGGATGTATCTCGAATTCTTCTTGAGCCATCTTTAGAATTTACTTTTATTCTCTATTAGTATTCTAGAATCGCTTTTAACAAAACAAAAACAATTTGTCGCTTACCGATTTTTCTCGATTCAAGTCTATCCAAAATTTTTCAAATATCCAAATGTTTCAAAGCCCTGAAATGCAATGAGAAAATACTATCCTCGTTTTTCTCGAAGGACGAATTTTTTTCTCGATTTTCGCATCCTTCCCGTAGTTTGCGTTTTTCACCGCGAAGGAAAGGTCTGGAAAGGTTTTAAAGGTGATTTTCCGTTACACCTCGCTCTTCTCTATCCAACTATATGTAAATATTGAGAAAATAAAATAGTGCTTAAACTTTGAATTACGCGCGCCTTACATACATATACATATATATATTTTATTAATAATAAAAAAAAGACGAAGACACTAACAAAAAAGCCGTCTGACTCTAACTACTACACATTCAACCTGAATATGTATACGTACTTTACCATATCCCATGAGGACTTTTCGGATAGAAAAATTGTCTTTTCCGCCATAAAAAACTTATCGTATCCGTTGTCACACTGCGATATGTCGAGATAATCTTTCGTTTTTTCACTTTCGTCCGTCTTGTTACATTTTAATATATCAGTATCACTAGACACCACGAGACCATGTTTTATCAGGATATATTAAAATAATACTGCAACGGATATTATCTAGATAGACAAATTATCCGATCCATTGTCACACCCCGATATGTCGCAATAAAAATGTATAGCGCAATACGCACCGATCAATGAGTAATCTTGATGTATCGTAATAGATTGGTATCAAGATATATCTGGATAGTACTCGGTGTTGGAAAGTATAGCGATAAAAAATCTATCACATCCGTTGTCACACTGGGATGTATCGCTGAAGCATGAATATACTGAGATATATCTATCTAAAACAAGCATCGACATATATCGCTCTGTAATGTTTATCCCGACATATCGCAGTGTGACAACGGATACGATAAGTTTTTTATCGCGGAGAAGACGCTTTTTTCTATCGGAAAAGTCTTCATGGGATGCACGAACAAAAAATGAAAAAATGTTAAATTGTAATGCACAATCAATTTATTATAGATATTTATGTAAGAAGAACAACGATGAAAATAGTCAACATTCTTATGTTAAATCGTATTTTATTGCAATAACTGTTTGGATGTGTGAAGAGAAAAATTTAAATGATTTAGATGTTGAAAATGATAATGATATTGGCAAAGTATTAGCTCAGATGTGGATTGATTATGCAACTCGATTATTGGAAAAATGTGATTTCATTGAAAACTTGAATATTTTAGAACGATATTCTACGGATGTATTAGTAACAGCAGTTCAAACACTTAAATTTCATATTAACTTAAACGACTCACTTGGATTAGAATTAGTTCAAGAACTTAAACAAATAGAACCATATGATTATGGAAATATTAATCATTTTTTGAAAGATTATATACAAGACAGATGTAATGCTGAAAAAGAATATAAATACATAAAATTGATTTGGGGTGATGACGAAAGCGAAAATTGAGAATATTTAATAGATATATTAGTTCAATTTTATGAAATTGATAATCAGGAAACAAATAATTGGTTTCAATGGAAAAAACTATTTATTGATAAAGACTTTGCCAGTGATGATGATGATGATGAGTTAGTTCAAACATCATTATTTCACAAGAATGAAGCGCGCAACAAATCCACAATCAGTCCAAAACTATTTACATCCAATTTATGTGTAGCAGTTGGGTATATATCTTCTATCATAAAAACTGTTACTAATCAACATTCCTTCGAACAGTTTATTCGTTTCTGTCATAATCAAGACTACCAGTCATTTATTTCAAATATCAATGTCGATTTCGACAACTTAGATCCAAGAAGAATAGTTATTCCAGTATTTTGACAATAATATATTCATCTTCTATAGAAGTACGATTATACGCAGGTTTACTATTGCCAACACTGTTCGAACATAATCTTTCATTTATATTTAACAATCGTACTGTATTAACAGGTCACGTTGAAGGTTCAAGCACTCATGATTTACTTGATAATTCAAATTTAAATTATGCAATGACAATAACTATAATAAATAATTTGGATATAAAATGTCCACATTTGGGAAAATTATTTCTATCAAGCACAATTTTAAAATTACTAATTGATTATCAGTTGGTATTACAAGAAATGTATTCATATCAACTGTCGAATGATATTTTATCAACCGTAGTCTGTAAATGGTTATGTCAAAAAAGTAATGAAAACAGTGATCATGATGGTATATTCTATTCTGATTGGTGTTTATTATTACCATTATTTAGCCTACGAAATAGATCACAAATGGATAGATTTTCTTGTTTATCAGATAAAAATATTATTTAAATATTTGAAGATCGAGAAAAACTAAAAATAACAACTTAGCTACCATTGATTAAAGATTATATTTATCGTATTCATACAAAAAAGGCTTTCATTGAACGTCAAAAAGTTTTCTTTTATATATGTGAAATGCTTTCTATATTTATAAACAAAGCAATTATGATTTTAGTAAAAATCTAGTATAATATAAAACAAGAATTAACGAGTACAATATCAGCCACTGGGAATCTTGGACGAAAAACGTTTAATTTTCAATATCTATTACAATTTAGTCAATTAAAGGAATTGGAAAATATCCTGAATGGAGATGAGAATGATATCAATCAATCATCGTTGGAAGTAATTTACGAAGCAAAACTTTTTCGATTCTTTCGTGAAGAAATACACCAATGGTTAATTGATGCATCTCGTCATAGGATTACAACGAACAGTGGTGATAATTTGCTTATTGTGTATTTGACATATTTATCTGAACGTGTTAGAACGAAGTTTCTGAACAATTATAATGGAACACAATATCCGCTCGAGAGCTTTTTCGAGTTTTTATACCGAGACATACAGAATTAAGAACAACAATAACAACTTTTGGAACGATTGTCTTCTTGAGATGATAGTAATGAAGAGAGTTTAGTAAACATTCAAATACAATGTCGAATAGTTTTATTATAACCGGATTTCAGAAACACTTTAAAGAGCCAAATTGAGTTCTTTCACCTTTCCATCCGCGTCATCGATAACAAAAAGTTACTATCAATCTAGAGTTATTTTTTAGGTAGTGCACTTGTTTGATACACTGCTCGTTGAGCGCATATTTATTTAGTTAGTCTTCTCTGATTTTTGCTGCTCTACTGTCGATGAGTTCAGTTCACAAGCTATGTGAACCACTTGATATTTGTGTGCTCACAGCATATCGAGGATAAAATATTTTTAATGCTTCTTGACTGTCGCACAATCAAGATTGTCATGACTGAAGCTAAATTAGAATGGTTTGGCAGCAAAAACTCTTCCACATACGATCATATTTTCAGTATGCTGGTAAAAGATCAATCGGTTGGACTCCACTTTTACGAATATCTCCTCGCCAAGAACCGAAATCCTGAAGCACCAGACACAAGAAATTGTGAGATTCTTTTGATATTTTAAGGTTAGGTCTAGTCGTCTCATATGAGTTTTTTAAATACTCGGAAGAAAGATTATGGTAAGATAATGTCACGGCGGCATCGTTAGGTCGAAGAATCCTTTATCGAACCGTGAAAGTTTTGACAACTTAGTCCAAAGCTGTATGTCAATCTTTTTTGGTCGACATATACAAGGTCTTTATTCACAAAAGCTTTCAGCAGCAGTCAATTTCTTTTTCGCAGGACTTCAAGAAACTCTCGCGAAACTTCTGTTGACATTTGTAGCATTAAATCGAAGAGAGCTTTGTGACAATAGACTTCACAACTATTCAGATACTTTCATAAAGTATTACGTGTTGTGCTTCCATTTTCCAAATTTTGCAAAATGTTTTCGGAATTCTGGAAATTCAAGCAGAATTTTGTCAAACACACCAGAAATATGCAAGAATATTCTGTAGACCTCTCCCGGATTTCTCAAAGTTTTACGAGATCGATTTACACCAGAATTTTGTCAAACAGAACAGAATTATGCTACAGTATTCTCAGAACTCTATCGCATTTCTGTATAGTGTGCGAACACCTGGAGGATTCGAGAATGTTCTGTAGAACTCACCCGGATTTCTCAAAGTTTGCCCAATCCTCTCAGAAATTTAAGAATTAAATCAGAATTTTTCATTATTTTCAGAATTATACCACAATTTTTGCCAACACAACAGAACTATGCAAGAGTATTCTCAGAAGTCTATCGGATTTCTGTAAACTTTGCGAATACCTGCAAAGTATTTTCATTATTTTTAGAATTACGCCACAATTTTGTGGGTATTGCTAAAAGACGCGAACACCCACGAACACCCCCAAATTAAAAGCTGAGTTAGCCAATCGATAGAGCTCGTCGAGCTGAGTATAGCAACGTCTAACGAACACCCAAAAAACTTTTTATAGTTTCGCTTTTTAAACATATA